TTTCATCGAACAACGCCGGAAGCAGCTGTGAGTATTGCCCATTCAGATTTTGTAATAAGTACCAAATATGAAAGTACAATGCTAGGTCATGGTGTATATTTTGCTCGATCAATGGAAGAGACGGAAGGTAAAGCTAATGCTGATGGTGCTTATATATGCGCTGAAATTGAAATGGGTAGAGTCAAAGAAGTGGGTCCAGGAGCGGAGCGAGATTCCCTTCGAGGTACAACACATTTGTGGAAAGATTATGATACGGTCTATTATAATCATCCGAACGATAGTCGTGATGAATTTTGTGTTAAAAGTACAGATCAAATATTAAAATGGGTTATGATAGTCAATCAAGAATATGATGGAAAGGTTCGAAACTATAGATTAGACACAGAATTTGATGATACAATTTGCCAATGTATTTAGAATCAAACAAGCAAATAAATAGTATTATAGCTATTCGTCTCAGTCTCTTCCGACAGACTTTTTTGCCTCTCTCAACTCGTTTCAGAACTTTTCGTCGCAGAAAATTCGTCACATTACAGAAAATTTAGAGTGAACATTCCCTCCATTTCTTAAACTCTATGTTTTACAGGGGCAATAACTAAAAATAAGAAAAATCTATCATCAAAAGTACTATGTGGCTAATGATAAATTTGCTACTGTCTTAGATAAATAATGATTGACTGAATTAAAATCTTAATTCATTACCAAACGCTTTATTCGTTTATCTAATTTTCCATACACTGCTTTTTTGGTATTAGCTTCATGTCCTTGTACGGCATGAAACAAATTTTCTACTACGAAAAGTTCGGAAACGAATTGTCGGATACATGAGAGGCGAGGACGAATACTTTAGTAAACTTAAACACTGACTTCTAAGATTTCTAACTGACTTTGGTTCTCTCTTCTGATAAATGCATAGATGTGTTCAAACACGGATATTTCTAATTTTACTTGCACAAAACTGAGGTCCTTTCTTGTTGTGTGCTGAGTCGGTGTGTATTTAAAGCAAGCCTTGAGTAAAGGTGATATTGTTATGGCCCGTTTCTAGAGCGGATTTTGGTCGACTACTATACGACTGCTACTTTCTGAATGAATTGGCTTTCACTGACGGATATCTTGATTATACTATTAACTGTTAGTTTATTACACTGTTATATCTGATGAAGTTTATCGTCATAGTGTATCGCTACTAAACTGTTGTTTGCGGAAAATTTGGCAAAAATGGCTTCGCTTAGAATCACACTATATATGGATAGTTTCTATTTCTCTTTCTTTCTTTATTATTATCGAGGAACCTAATAAATAAAAGTAATGCTGGTCAAAAACACAGTCCAATTCACGCCTCTACAGTCAATAATATCAATCATCAGCCGCTTTTTTTAAATAAGCCTACTTTGTTTAGTTTTTCTTGTTTAAGAAGTGCTCACTGTAATCTCAAATGACTGAAAAGTACGCTATAGTGACGATGCTCATAATTTGTGCCAGCACAGCTGAATAATGAAGTTACGACGTTACGGTGGATGTCAACGGTCTTGTCGTGGTATCCAGGTCAGCCCGTTCAACGTAAAATGACGAACTGCGAACGGTGGTAGCGCCGGAGTGAATAAGAATAATCCTTGTCACAATCCGATGTATTATTAAAAGAACTGTCATTATATTACGATGATTAGTCAGTATACTCATTGAACTGCAATTCGCCATTAGAAGCAGCAGCAATGGCTCCAAGTGTGACTATGCACAAAAACTGATGAATTGACATATTGACCTTTAACGTGCAGTGATCTTTCAAACGAAAACAGTTATGAAACACAGCGTTTTTATATTTTTATTGACGTTGTGAGTCTTATGTTTTAACTTAAAAACAAATAAGAAAGAAAATCGGGATTTTTCAAGATGTTCTGTAATATTACCTTTTCCAACTCGATATATTTTATTAAATCTGTTTGTTATGTCATATAATAGTCTATTAATCCATTAAACAGTATACACCTCTGTTTGTCTTCCTACTGATCTACTTGTAGAATGTAATGGAGAAGAAAAAAACAATATTTATTGGAAAGAAGTTTAATGTCATACGTAATGATGGGAGAAACGATGATCAATAATAAAGAGAAATCTGTTGCTTAATTGTTTTAAAGTACTCATATATGTCAAATAGACTCTCTTTTAAATTCTGTGCTCCATAAAGTTCTGTAATCCTATATTCATGTGTTTTTCAGAACTTTACGAAATAACACCATTAGAATTAGATAACAATTGTTTGCATCATGAAGTTATTGTTCGTAGCCGTCTGCATTGAACTAATCCTCATCAAGGATCAAGGAGGGTTTAACTATACTATAAGTGGGTACTCTTCCTCTGATGTTCTCCGTGTCCCTACTATTTTTAAACAGTATTTATAAATATAAAACAGCATCTATTATTATGCACATCGCCAGTATTTTATAGTTCTTGTTAAATTATTGATTTTAAATCAATTTGATTATAATTACCGGGTGTCCCAAAATGTTTGCGACATTTTTTATTCTGCATATATTCCAGTACGGAAAAATAATAAAATATTCAACTTTTTTTAAAAGAAGCGCAATTCAATTCTCTACAAACTTCTATTTACCTCACTTCAAAATAATTGAATTGAGCGTCTCACATAATGTGATGATATGAATTGCATCTACTTTCCACACATTTTTACTATGCTTTTTTTCAAGTTATGAACAGGTACCGAAAAAACGAATTATTTGTAATACGAGTGATTTGTAACGACCTTCTTTTGCCAAAATGTTCGTTATCTTCTCCGCTTTCCGCTGGTATAGTTTTCATAGCTGTAAACTTCCCTGACGGATCAACAAAGCTGAGCAAAAAAACGAATGTCTTACAACCGTGTTGTTGATGAAGGGCCATTTTTAAGTTGATCCACGATACGACAGTGCTTAAATGCTTTGTTACGTTGATAAACTTTCCATGTTTATAAATCGGCATCCTCTGCTCACATGTGTGAAATTCATTTTAAAATCAACGCGAGCGCTTGATCAAGTATCTGAAGGGAGCTTTTGGAAAATAAGAGCAGCCTAAGAAAAAGAAACGATTTTTAGGAACGAAAATTTTTTACAGCTCTTCGTTACCCGAAGAGAAGGTACTCGAGTATTTATGTCGACCTACAGACAAGAATTACCAATATTTTAAGTTTTTTTCCGAGGAATATACTTGGACGAATGGGCAACATTTTGGTGAAAATCGTTTGCTGAAGACTACTTCTCTGCTGAGTTATGGTTAAAACTAAAAAACGTTTGTATCGTACGGAAAATTTTAGTAGCAGTGGTAGATACAAATAAATTTATTTCTGTTGTGTTCTTTTTGTTTTATTCACACAGTAATAGGAAAATGAGTCATCAGTATAGCTGAGCCTATAGCTACACTAATAACCAATGTGTTAACTACAATAAAGGGTGTGGATTTATGTACGGATAACCTAGATATTATTGCTGCCACAGTAAATAATAAATTCATAGACCATGGTGCATTGCGACTAATACGCTGATGTTGGAGGTTTGCTTTGATAAATCCTCTAGTTTATCGACCTTGGTTGAAAGGTTATCAGTATTATTCGTGAACTGAATTAATATATCATAATGCGACGGAATATAATCGTCATTCCATGGGGCGAAGATATTTTTGTCTTGCAGAAAAATCATTGCAAGTTTATATCATATAGCCGGAATTGCCTCGTGAGAAGGGCAGAATTCAAGCTTCAAATGATAGAAATCGGATTGTCCATATAAAAAACAGTTATCACAAAATTTTGGTTAGTTCCTCAAAATGTTAATTTTGGAATACTTACCGGTGGCGCCACTATCACGGCGCGATTTGTAATGACTTCTTGCATAATGACAACAGGGGTTAACCATTATTTCGTGATAACCATTTTTTTACATTGGCAATGTGATTTCTATACTTTGAAGCTTTAATTCTATCCTTCCCACGAAGTCAGCTCGGCTATATGTCTTTTTTACGTTTTCTAATACTCGTTCTTGTTCTATTATGGCCAAATCGACATTGTCCTTTTGGATAATTGGTTTTTCATCCTATTTTCCTTTTTTGTGCGTGTGCTGTAGAAGTTGCACAGCAAATCGTAGACAGTACATCTTATCTAAATAAATTCTAGTTTTGAAAACCAACTTAAAAGAGTTATTAAAAAATAAATATTGTTTTCATTATATGTCGTATACTGTAATGGTTGTTAATCATCGATCGCTATCGATTCTTACAGTTACATGATGATAAAGTGGATAAAAGAACGATATACTCAATGAGTCATACGCTATATAATATATAGGGTGTCCAGAAAGTCACTAGAGTTGCAGAAAATTTCAAAATCTTCATGACTCTTCAACCACATGAGTTGAATTTTTTTCTGAGGGTAGAAGACAAATAGTAGTTTTTATTTATGAAGGAACGGTCCGTTTATAGGCATCAACTCGACAATTTTTTCTTCAATACACGACCAGTTAGC